AATACTCTACATGTTGCCTTATTGTATACAGATCAATGAAATTTCTCAATTAAACATCTCCAGACACTATTCCACTGACTTACACTGTTATTAGATTTCTCATGTTCGAGAAGAAACCGGCCGGCAGTTCTCGCATTTCGTTGTAATGGAAGTAACTGCAAATTAAAGGAAAGCGATTCAATTCAACATCACTCGCTAAGTTATAAAGATGCTGCTGTCTTAAGCCCAAGTATTTTCAAGCTTTTGGGCTCTCTTCTTTTCCTTTGCTCCACCCAGTTCTCACATCCAAAAATTCAACTCTTAACACTTCGTGAGACTCCCTGGAATTCAGAGGGCAGAAAGGAACAGAAGGGTATACCACTGTCAATGAACAAATTTGCCTCAATTTCGTTGATACCCATACAGTTCGGATCTTGAGTAATGGGGAAAATGGGCATTTTAGAACACGAGAGAGCAAGTAACCAAGTCACACATATCTGAAAAAGAATAATTCGTTACTGAGTACGCAAAACATCCTATTATATGGAAATGTGTATACATGCAATATTACATTGGTAATCTACTTTAGAGGGGACGTTTAATTGAGAGGAAGCCCTTATTTAGTTTTACCAAAAGTTCTTCAGTGGCCAGATCTGATTGTTTTTAGGAGCATATAATTTGCGCGTGATTAACGGTATAAACTATGCATTAATATACAAAGCCCATCTTTAGTTTTACATTCGTATAGGTATCTATGGGCAACTCGAATAACGTAATTCTCAGCTTGCATGACTCTGCCAACTGGATTACTTGTCCGTGAAGATAGGAGGAGAGACGCTAATCCGAGTGTTATGGGCATTGTCTCCCTTGAATTTGGAATTCTCTCTCCGTGAAGCTTATAATCACACGTGCGCCTTGAAAAATAGCAGTTTTTTCATACTCACAGGAATCGAATACTTGGCGCGATATCTTTAAATCGCTCGTTGTTCACAGTGCGGATTTTGTTGAAATAAAAGCTCCTGCAAATGACGATAGAAGGAAAGGAGAACTCGTTAATGGAAAACATGAGAGCATAAATTCAGATAAAAAAAAGCAGGAGAATTGATTGTGAGTGACTACGAGGGACTACGAGTGACCACGCGTAACCAAGCGTTACCAAGAGTGACCACGAGTGACCACGAGTGACCACGAGTGACTACGAGTGACTACGAGTGACTACGAATGACCACGAGTGACCACGAGTGACCACTAGTGACCACGAGTGACCACGAATGATCACTTCTTGCCACTAATTACTCGTATGATCAAGAGTAACTACTAAGCAGTAACCAGAGGAAGGGTCACTCTCCTACTTCCCGCCACACGAATCTTTTATCCGGTATCAATCAATCGTCACTCTTCTCCCTCAACTTTT